CTATTAGAGTTTAAAAATTTATTCATATCGGTTTGTGCTTAATAACGCTTGATGATCTATCTTATCAATTCATCGCGTGCTCTATTAAATATAAATTGTTTTTATAAATTATTTTTATCACTTCTTTTATTACTTCTAATGCGATTTGCTGGCGGAATTGCAAAGTTGTACAAAATGTGCTATCGTTTCTACATTAATTTCTCCTCTTATTTGATTGCTACGTTTTTTTATTTAATGTTTCTAAGTTAATCTACTACAGTTACATAATAAAATACTTAACCTATGATAATTACTTTATTATAATAGAGACTTGTGATTCGATTTTAAATTATCTTTCATAAACTTGATACGTGTTTTAAATTGAAGCTTAAATATTCTACCTTATGACATGATGCTAATACACTGTTGGAAATAATTCACGAGCACACTTATATAATCTGAACGCATGAAGATAAATCTATAATATTTGAGGAGCATAAAGGTTTACTGTAGACGAGTTTATTCAGCGAGTTTCGAGTTTTTCTGTCGTGGTATTGTTGACTGAGCCGCCCTTCCAAGTGAAAGATTCCTTCGCTATGGAGACCGAATGGGTGGGATACACCGGTTGTTTTTAGTGTGGTGTGAGGGACCAATTTGTTGTTGTACTTTGTGCGCAATGGAAGGGCGATCGCATTACTTAAGTGAGGAATGGTTGTGGGTATGCACATTGAGGGTGTATCGTTCCGTGAAATTGCACGTTATCTCGAGCGGTCGTTATCTGCAGTGCAATGGGCATGTCGAAAATGGTCTGCGCTAGGACATACACACACCCAGCCGGGACCACAGCACGCGAGTATCGCGCCCTTCTGCTCAGCGCTTTAGAGTGGTGTACGTCCTCCTCAAGGCAACTTGGAGCTATTTGGCCAGCGGGAAGGGAAGGCGCACTTATCGCGCGCGTCGTGCGATACAGCGGATTCCACTAACACCCGAGCACCGCCGCATACGTCACCAGTGGGTCGACGCTAGACATTGGTGGGTTGCCGAGTGGAGGGACAATTTGTTTTACGACTAATCAAGATTTGAATTGAGTACCGGTCACGCGCGAATTTTGGTTCGTCGGAGACGTGATGAGCCAACCGCCAACCGGATATCATGGGTTACACATGGTGGACGTACACGTCTGCTTCATATGCAGCAGACAATGGCGGGTCAACGATACGTAGATGAGGTGCTACGACCCGTTGTGCTTCCCTACGTTTGACGACGCCCACTTCTGTTATACATGCACAACAACGGCCGACCGCACATCATGCGTGTTGTACAGACCTTTGTAGAAGAACACCGTATACGAATGCTTCCATGGCCAGCTCGTTCTTCGGATATGAATCCGATCGAACATATTTGGGACATAATTGGTCAAAGACTTCAACGTTATCCGGCTCCCCCGGTTAACGTTGAGGAGCTATGCAGGCGTCATGGTTGGCCATCCCTCCCGCTACAATACAGCGTCTTATCGACTCTATACCACGTTGTGTAGCGATGGTACGCGCTGTTCACGAGGGATACTCTCGCTATTGATATATCCCCTCCCAGCAGAGTTGCGCCGCTCTCCATGTGAGGGTAAATTAACCCACTTTAGTACTTCCATACCAAATTTCATAGCGCTAGACACACGTGTTCAGACTATACAGGGTGTGTTCGTGAATTATTTCCAACAGTGTAATAACATATTATTTAACTATAAGATAATATTATTGAAATTTTTATGTAAAAATCATGAAGGAAGAAATTGCCAAATTTATAAATTAAAAATGATTTTTAAAAATACTTATCCCCTGTATTTTTAAGAATCATGATTAAAGTCTTCTAAATTAAAGCTTAAAGATTCTAGTTTATGATAAGATATAAAAATTATAAGATGTTATTATTGAAAATTCTAGGAATAAATTATTAAAGAAGAAATTGACAAATTCGCCTGCATCCGATGCATCTATCGAAACGTGCGATTGATATTTGACGAAGATGACGTGGACGAAATCGTGGTAGTAAGGGCGGAGGCACTGAATGGTCTCAGCCCGAGAAAATATTCAGGCAACGACGGAATTCAGACTAGAGTGGAGGAACTGAAGGTCATACCAGACGTCTAGTTCGGATTTCGAACCCAACAGATCACCGTTCTGCAGTCTCACGTTCTCACGTCTCCAACGGATTCATTCGCTTTGAATACACTGGAGCAGATTTTCTATACGTTAGGCTGTTATTCAAGATGCACCAGGAGGTTGATGCATCCTCTCGGCCACCTCTATGCTACAACTAGTTTGGTCGTTCAACAAGATGAATAAGATGCCTCTACGACAACCCTGAACAATTGACCATCTTCGACGAAGTCATTCTCTGGCGCCACATAACCAAGTAGTAGAGCCATATACAGGCCAACACAGTTCGTGCGCGACAGATACTGGCGATTAACCGTCGTTCAAGCTATTTATTCCGCACCTTTTGTCATCAAAATATTTGTATATATTTTTTATGTTTTCACTACTTCTTTTCAGTTGCAGGTTGAGAGGTATTCATAACGTGTTTAGACGTTTCGAGATAATTAAAATCAAAGAAGTGATCAGGTGTTCTATCGCTAGAACCTCCATGTTCGCTACCATCATCGTCAACAGATATGAGTTCCTTCGCACCTTAATTCTCCTTTCACTTTCACACACCTAGTCCCAATTGGAGCACGAGTTATTAATCTTAATTTTTATAATTATATTGACGGTCACCGTACTTTTACCTATACTTAAAAAATTAACATTCCCTCCACCCTTAGTAGTACCAACATAATTGAGATTCATTGCCAACATGTAAAATGAAAATCACTAAAAGTTACTAGATTTTTGACCGCCATATTGGCATTTCAGCCAATCACAGAGCGTAAAATATGGGATAATCCTGCTCCAGAACTCTCCTTCTTATACTACTGGTATGAGCTTGATTTTCAAAGGGGTGAAAGATGTTGGAAAAAGGAATCCAGCGCATCTCATCGACTTTGTAAAAACAGAAAGTAAATAATTGAAATGTTCTCATCGACTTTGTAAAAATCCAGCGCATCTCATCGACTTTGTAAAAATCCAGCGCATCTCATCGACTTTGTAAAAAACGTGTTAGAAAGTAAATAAATCAAAATGTTCTCATAGACTTTGTAAAAACGTTATAAAGTTATTAAACATTTAATCTATTACTGTATTTTTTTATTCTCCCTTCCATTGGTTGAAAAACGGTACCAACTACTTAAAAACGGTAAATAAACTGAAATGTTAATAAAGCTTATTTAATTTAATAAAAAATATTCATTTTACCCCTAGGATACTTAACCAATAAAATAACTATAGTAACTAAATGCTCTTCGGGCCTGAGAGGCCCGGTTTATGCATCCTAGGGTTAATACTACCACCGCTATATTATATTTTTTTATTCTCTCTTCCATTGGTTGGAAAAGGGAACCAACCCATCTCATCGACATTGTAAAACGTTGGAACCTACCCATCTCATCGACATTGTAAAACGATAGAAAGTTTGAAATGTAAAGTTATTAAACCTAAATGTTAATAAAATTTATTTAAAGAAAATATTCATTTTAATATTAATATTTTTTTATTCTCTCTTCCATTGGTTGGAAAAGGGAACTATCCCATCTCATCGACATTGTAAAACGATAGAAAGTTTGAAATGTAAAGTTATTAAACCTAAATGTTAATAAAGTTTATTTAAATAAAATATTCATTTTAATACTAATATTTTTTTAATTCTCTCTTCCATTGGTTGGAAAAGGGAACCAACCCATCTCATCGACATAGTAAAACGTTGGAACCAACCCATCTCATCGACATTGTAAAACGATAGAAAGCTTGAAATGTGAAGTTATTAAACCTAAATGTTAATAAAGTTTATTTAAAAAAAATATTCATTTTAATACTAATATCTTTTTAATTCTCTCTTCCATTGGTTGGAAAAGGGAACCAACCCATCTCATCGACATTGTAAAACGTTGGAAAGTTAATAAGCTGAAATGTAAAGTTATTAAACCGAAATGTTAATCGAAATGTTAATAAAGTTTATTTAAATCACCCATCAGGCAAACGCAGCTCAACAGGCAAAACGCGCCCCCCCCCGTACGCGGTGGATCTATATATCTCGCAGGTAGATCGTGACTCACTTACTAGTATCAAGTTAATTGACCTCCTCCTCGAACGTATCCCCCAAAAAATTGGCCGATTTAATGACCTTCTCGCATATTTTTAAGCCCCGTATACCTTTACATAATAAAATAAAAAATATCCCGCAGGTAGGTCATAACTCACTTATTTGTATACCTACATGCCTCAAAACTGTATACCTTTTTGTGTATAATAACTTATTATACACAGAAAGGATATATCGATATATCTTTTAACTGTGTTAAGAAATAATCGAGACCGGCGCGGGAAAAATCTGAGACGCTTATAGAAAGTTACTTAAAAACGCGGGTGTTAGAAAAAAACTGTCAAAAAGGAAAAATTTTACTGTTCTTGTAGAATAAGTAGAAGTATCTCTTCGAATAGCAAATATAAGCCGAAGTGCTTCTATCGAACGTGTGTATTAACACGATTGAAACTACTTTTTAACGAAAATTACACGGAACGATTTATTACGCTTTTTGATGTCAACTACAACAACTCGTGAGAACAACTGAATAACCATAACGAATAAAATACGGAACGGCCGACTAATTAACTTAAATTATAAAAACTTTGAACATTACCGCCCGCCTTGCCGAATGGCAACAGAAAATTTAAAAAAAATATACAATAATTTGAAAATTGACCCTAACTGAAATGATTACAAACTAAATAAGAAAAAATGACCGCAGGAAAACAAACTTTTACATTAAATAAAATAAGAAAATATTTAGAAAGAAATTAACAATAAAAAGACTGAATTAAATGTAACTGAAATGAAATGTGAAAAATAACTACAATTGAATAACATTACTAATTTGTACAATCTGGCAAAATGCTTAACTTAGCGAACGGACGAACAAGCGTTGAATTTGCGGTTTTGAGCGTTGCGACGCGAGCGTGGCCATCGGCACCGGAATGAATTTGAAGAATTCTTGCTAAAGACCATTTCGCCGGAGGTAATCTTTCATCTCGGATGAGTACAAGCTGTCCAATTTGAGGAAGATTTCGTTGATTGAACCATTTCGTAGCGTTCTGCATAGATTGTAAGTAAAACTTTTCCCAAATCTTCCAGAAATCTTCGACCATACGACGAAGAAGCTGCCATCGAGAGAGTCTTGATATCTTTTCATCGAAGACGGACGGCTCCGGAACAACGGTGAGAGCGTTACCGATAAGAAAGTGAGCCGGAGTCAGAACATCAAAATTGTTCGGATCGTCAGATATTGAACATAGAGGTCTTGAATTTAGCACGGCCTCAATTTGAATCAAAACAGTGTTGAATTCTTCACACGTAAGAAGTGTCGATCCGACAATTTTTCGAAGATGGCCTTTAACGGATTTTACTCCGGCCTCCCACTTTCCACCGAAATGTGGTGCTCCGGGAGGATTGAACTTCCATCGGGTGCCGTCGCCGCTCAAGAGACTAGCCATTTCTTTCCATTCTTTGGACGCTGCTGAAAACGTGGAACGCAGCTCACGGTCAGCTCCAACAAGATTCGTGCCACAGTCGCTGTAGAGGCATTCACTGATACCTCTTCTTCCGGAAAATCGCTTGTACGCAGCAAGAAATCCTGAAGTTGAATAATCTGTGGCCACTTCTAAATGGACGGCTGAAGTGGCTAAACAAACAAACAGAATAAGATAACCTTTATACGTCTTACTACCACGTCCTCGAAGATGCTTCAAATGAAAAGGTCCGGCGTAATCAACACCGGTGTGTAGAAACGGGCGGGATGATATGACTCTTGAAGGCGGAAGTTGGCCCATCAACTGCTGGCTGATGACTGCTCGTTGTTTCGCACAAATCATACATCGATGAATGAACGAACGGACAGGTACTCGCCCTCCAACGATCCAGAAATGGCGTCGGATTGAAGATAAAGTTAGTTGAGTTCCTCCATGCAACGTAGCTCGATGATGTTTGTCGATCAGAAGAATCGTAATTGGCGAATCTTTTGGAAGGATGATTGGATGCTTCTCATTCCAATCCAAATTTGAAAATCGAAGGCGACCGGTCACTCGTAGAAAACCTTTACCGTCTATGAACGGAGAAAGTCGGAAAAGAGAACTTGAACGCGGCACTACACGGCCGTCCGTTAGAATTTGAATTTCGTCCGAGAAATGAAGTTGTTGACACTCGCGCACCCAGAACATTAAAGAGTCGTTCAGTTCATCAGGAGAAAGTATGTCTGAAAACTTTGAATTAGTCTTTACTTTATGAAAAAATCTCTTACACCAAGCAGTGACTCGCAGAAGCTTGTTCAACGACGAATATTTCAACTTTAAATCCCATCCTTTTTTCATAGCAGTTGCGGTGTTGGATGTATGGATAGAACGTGCTTCTGGAATTTCTTTGGCATCCGAATTGGTCCGAAGAGATGGCCATTCTGAGGGTGGTGAGCGAAGCCAAGACGGTCCATTCCACCATAACGTTTCGGCTTCAAGTTTCGTCACTGAAACTCCACGGGAAGACAAATCGGCTGGGTTTTCTTTCGTCGGAACGTAGCGCCAATGAACATGAGAAAGCTCCTGAATTTCTGTTACTCTATTCCGGACGAAATCTTTCCATCTTGAAGGATGACTGCAGATCCAAGAAAGTGCCACCGTAGAATCGCTCCATAGAAAAATTGGAACTTCGTTGAAATCCAGTGTTGCCCGAACGCGTTTTATCAACCGAACTAACAACACGGCGGCGCACAATTCAAGTCGCGGAATGGTTACGCGTTTAAGAGGTGCCACTTTCGTTTTAGAAAAAAGAAGAGAAACGCGAACATCATCAGCTCTTGAAACGCGAAGATACACTACCGCACCAAAGGCACTAGTCGAAGCATCCGCGAACCCGTGCAATTCAATCGAAGAACAATCGCGAGTAATTCCAAGCCATCTCGGAATGCGAATTACCGGACACGTTTGAAAAGAGTTAGCGTATTCGTTCCATTGAAGAGAAAGGTCATGCGGAAGGATTTCGTCCCATTCGAGATTACAAGTCCACAAATTTTTTCATAAAAATCTTCGCAGTTACAATGATCGGAGAAAGCCACCCGAGGGGGTCGAATAAACGCGCAATGAATGATAGAACTTTACGCTTAGTAAGTT